TCACTACTAGAAGGAAGGAAGGAAGGAAGGAAGGAAGGAAGGAAGGAAGGAAGGAAGGAAGGAAGGAAGGAAGGAAAGAATGGGGGTGGGGGATGACAAGTATGAACGTTTCTATAATTCAGGGTAATTTTGTTCTAAAATTTTGAAAATGTAATTAAGTGAAAAGCCAGCACGTCTCTATCAGCAGCGTTATAATAATGACCTGTTAATGTAAACATGAGTGTTCTTTGGGATACTTAACCTGAAGAGGGCCAGGCTACATTTGTAAAACCAGAAGGAAAGCTTCCTACCTCCTTGTTTTGATGGTAGTAGGAAAGGACTGGGAACCTCCCCTTGCTGCGGAACTTGGAGCTACCAACAATTATCGGCTTGCTTGCTATTCGGGGAACATAAAGTTCTCTGGGATAAGTTTCACAAATCTGTAAAAATCAAACAAAACATAACCATTCCATGCACCATGAGGTTAAAAATCACCTTTAAAAAACTTTAAAACTTACAGAAACAACTTGCTACTATGGTATACTCTGTGACTCTCTGGTACTAACATTTTCTGAACTTCCCTAAAAGGTCGCCAAGTTACCTTGTATTCTCGGTTCGCATCAGACAACTGCCAGTTTGAATTTGGCACGCCCATCCTCTTATATTCCTCAGCAAGGTCAATGAGCTGCCAACCTCGTAGTCGTTCTGAGTCATTTTGCTTGGGATTATAAGAGAATGCATAGAGGTCTTCATGTTTTGCTGTAGTATATAAAATACACAAATGTTAAAATGCAACTTATAAGGCTTAATTCACTATTTTCCAGTTTTACTCCTCTATTTTGTTCTTTAAAGTCTTCAGAGAAGCCTAACACCTGAACATATTTTAACTTAGTATTTTCTCAGTTCTTTGATGCAAATGATTATACATAAAGGCACACGTCAATCTGAGAGTCAATTTACATCGTCAGTAAAAGCTAGTAAATAATACAGACTTATACATTAAATACTCTACTGCCCTATTTCCTTTTCTGAAAAGTAAAAATTTAAAGACACAAATAGGCTCTTCCCACCCACCACTTTTCCCAAATGAGATGTAAAACAGACTAATGCTGTAATGAAAAACTAGAGGTGGCATACAGAACATAAAATAGCATATGCATTTCTATAGTACAGTTTTGACCAAAAATGGCAATGCACAGAGGTCCAGAGAGAACTGACTTCTGAAAAACAATAAGCCCCTGTAGTCAAAGAAGCATCTGTACCATAAGATCTGGCTTCACCTGGGACAATAGGATAAATGGTACAGGCTTTATGGGTCAGGAGAGAAGAGTGAACATAAGACCTGCCCCTACTACTACAATCCCGGTGTTCATATAAAACAAAGTAATATCCAGTAATTAACGTGCTTTGTCTCCCTGGAGAGGTCTCTGTAATTCAAGTCATGTTGAGGGAAGGAAGCTGCCAGATCCCGAAGGTATAGCAGTGATCAGATTCCTCACCAGGCCTGTATCCTTCTCACTCCTCTCAGGACTGTGTACAGGACTCACCCTCTCTTTTCCCTCTGCTCATCTTTATGTTCCACTCCACAGTCAATTAAATGTATTAGAATGCATCAGTCCCATTGCTACCAAAGGAGCCTGACTTTCCCTTTTCATTTAGTAATCAATTTCCAAGTCACTCCCCCTGGTTGTGGGATACTTAAAAATAATAATAATAATAATAAAGGCTGTACTATAAATGCTTACTTTGTCCTTTCTATTACTTCTTCTTTGGAAACCATTCTTACAACTCAGGTATGTTTCTAATTACTTCCAGGTCAAATTTTTTAGAATCGAGTACACAAAAACTTGACTTAAAGTATAAAATAACAATACTGAGATATTAAATAAAGAATCTTAGGTAATCCATGTCAAAATTGAGCGAGTAAGCTTTGGTCTCTGAGAACAGTACCTTGTTTTGACAGTTGTAGCAGAGAGTTGTAAATATCGTGGCAGTCTCTTTCTCTGGGAACAATGAAATGCACGATCCTGAAGTTCTTGCACTGAATCACAAGTGGGCACCCAGACGTCGTCAAAGCCAGCTTCTCTACCGAGGCAATATGGTGGTGCAATATCTACAGCATGAAAAAAACCACGTGATCATCAATATAAAAAGCACTAAACATCTTCCTCCCCTCCACAGTGCATAAATGTTAGAAGTGCCTTCTTCAAATGTTATACACTACATACTCAAAAACAAAATTTTTAAATGACAATGTCCAAGTCAGAAATGTCCCAACATTTCCTCCATCACTCCACATATTCAATACATCCTCAAACCCGAGAACTGCTTTCCTTAAATGTCTCTGTAAGCTGTTTGCTTCTCTCCATCCCCACTGTCACTCCACTAGCTACAGTGTTCCCATTCTTTCTCACCTGATTACTATAAATAGCCTCCTAAATACTCTCTCTATATCCATTCTTGACCCCCCCCCAATCCATTTTCTACAAGGTAGGTGAGGAACCATTAAAAAACAATTAAAAAAAAAAGTAATCTAGTCACATTATTTCCCACGTCTCCCATCCAGAACTAATCAGACCCGACCCTGCTTAGCTGCATTCAGGGTGTCATGGCCATAGAGTATTTCCCATTCCTCTTGCCTCATTTCAAGCCCCTCCCCATGTTACTAAGTTCTAGTGACAATAGCTTTCTTTTGCTTCTCAAATGAACCAAGCTCCTTTACACATACTCTGAGTTGCTCCTACCATCTGGAATATTGTAGCTGTATCTCTTCACCTAGGCACTTCTAGTATTATTTCTGGCCTTGGCTTACAACATGTCACTGAGAAGGACGTATAGACTGACAATCCCCACAGCCCTTCTCAAGTAAGTTAGGCTCCCTACGTTGGTTTATACAATATCAACCTCCACTTTTCCTTCATTGCACTTAGTATACATGTAGTTTGTTGTGTAGTGAATACCTTGTGTAGTGAATATCTATTTCTCTAGCTAGATTTGGGGAACTTCATAAGCAGCAATACTATAGGTAAGTTGAGCACCATTATAGCTCCAGCATCTAACACAGTACCTAGAATATTATAATGAACCTCTTCAAATGAAAAAAAAATTCAAATATTATATATTACACATTTGAACTTAGAATTTGGCCAAATCAGAAATATAGGTGTCATTGTTGATACCTTCTACATCACAATAAATGCTTACTGAATGAATGAATGAATACAAAGTCCTACTATAAACTCAGCACTTGCTGGCATTTTAAACATGATTATCATTCTCATCTATTACCTATCATATTCTGTTTGCAACTAAAAAAAGGTTTCCTTTTCTTAATACCATTCCTATTAATTTAAAATAGTTATAGCAAACTTTTCCAGAAAATAAAAGATTTTAAAATCATAGCAGGTTTCTGGGTAAAACTCAATCATGGCAAGAGATCAATTCATCCTAAATTAATCTAAAAACTTACCAGTAAAAAATTCCAACCTGCTTTGTGTGAATGTATGTGGCAGGGGGCAGGGTGAGATGACTATTTATATTATAAATATTAATTATATGAAGTTCACATGCAAGATTAAATACATGAAGTAATCAAGCTTGAAGAAAGGACTAACGAGAGAAGTCCTAGGAAATTAAAAGTATATATAACACACATAATTAAGCACACATAAGTAGCTCATATTTATGGCTAAGATTTAGCACTATGAAAACTTATATTAGCAGATCTGTACCAAGCTACTCAAAATGATCTAATAGTAATATCTAAATAGAGAATTAGAAACAATAAGCCACTGTAATATTATACCACTACTATGATTCCAATTAAGACCCAACATTATTTACTGGAAAAGAATGACGAGGGAACCTGGCTCTGACACTAACTAGTTATGTGATCTTGAAAAAATAATCATTTATAAACTGAGAAAAAAGATGAAAGTTAGTAAGGCTCCTTTTAGATCTAAAATGTTCATTTCTATGGATCTAATACACTAAACAGATTTCATTCAAGACAGACATGTGGGAATATACTGATAAGAAAGCTTTTTTTTGGTTATATATTGTTATATATTATTATATATAGTTATATATATAGTTATATATATTGTTATATTATTGTTATATTTTATAACAATTTATTGTTATTGTTGTTAATTTGTAAAATATAACAAATTATTGTTATATTTTAACAATAATAAAAATATTGTTAATTATTTAACAATAATTAAAGTTTATTGAGGTGACAGTTACATAGGTTTTCAGGTGTACAATTCTGTAATGCATCATATATATCACATTGTGTGTTCACCACCCAGAGTTAGTTCTCCTTCCATCACCATATATTTGACCCCATTTACTCTCATCTACCACTTCCCCTCCCCCCTTACCCTCTGGTAACCACTAAACTATTGTCTGTGTCTATGAGATTTTATTTCTTTATTAGTGTTGTTCCCTTGTTGTTTTCAGTTTTATATCCCAGTGAAATCATATGGTTCTCAACTTTTTCTGATTTATTTCACTTAGCATAATAATTTCAAGATCCATCCATGTTGTCCCAAATGGCACTATTTCATCTTTTCTTATGACAGAATAGTATTCTGTGTGTAAATATACCACATCTTCTTTATCCAATCATCCATTGAAGGACACTTTGATTGTTTCCATGTCTTGGCCACGGTATAAAAAGCTGCAGTGAGTATTGGAGCACATACATCTTTACGGATAAATGTTTTCAGAGTTTTGGGGTAGATACCCAGGAGAGGGATTGCTGGGTCATACAGTAATTCTATTCTTAATTTTTTGAGGAACCTCCACACTGACTTCCATAGCAGTTGCACCAATCTGCATTTCCCACCAACAGTGTATGAGGGTTCCTTTTTCTCCACAGCCTCTCCAACACTTGTGATTGTTTGTCATGTTAATGATAGCCACTCTAACAGGTGTGTGGTGATATCTCATTGGGGTTTTTATTTGCATTTCTCTGATGATTGGTGATGTTGAGCATCTTTTCATATGTCTACTGGCCATCTGTATGTCCTCTTTGGAGAAATGTCTATTCAGGTCCTCTGCCCATTTAATTGGATTGTTTTTTGTTGTTGAGTTATATTATGAGTCCCTTATATATTTTGAATATTAGTCCCTTATTAGAGGTGTTGTTTGCAGGTATCTTCTTGCATTCTGTTGGTTGCCTCTTTATTTTGTCAATGGTTTCTTTTGCTGTGCAGAAGATTTTTAGTTCAATACAGTCCCACTCATTTATTTGAGCTTTTACTTCCCTTCCTTGCCTTTGAAGTCAAATTCATAAAATACTCTTTGAACCCAAGGTCCATAAGTTTAGTACCTATGTTTTCTTCTATGCAGTTTATTGTTTCAGATCTTATGTTTAGGTCTTTGATCCATTTTGAGTTGATTTTAGTACACGGTGACAGATAGCTGTCTAGTTTCATTCTTTTGCATGTGCTTTCCAATTCTCTCACTACCATTTATTAAAGAGGCTTTCTTTTCTCCACTGTATATGTTTGGCTCCTTGGTCAAAAATTATCTGTCCATATTTATGTGGGTTTATTTCTGGGTTTTCAATTCTATTCCGTTGGTCTGTGTGTCTGTTTTACTGCCAATACTATGCTGTTTTGTTTATTGTTGCTCTGTAGTACAAGCTGAAGTCAGGGAGTGTGATGCCACCAGCATTACTCTTTTTTGATAAGAAAGCATTTTAAAGACAACAACTGGAAAGAAGAGAACAAAGTAGTTGCCTCTAAAACTGCGTTCCCAATACCTAAAAGAACAGCTGTATGGGAAACTTTCATTTGTAGCTCTAGGAGATGGATAACACACACATTGAGGCAGAGGAAAAAAGGAAGGGTAGATAGAGTGGATGAGAATATGAGAGGACTTCACAAAGCCCTGCTAGGTGAGACTCCTGGCACTTCCTGGGCAAACACTGGATGGGAAAAGATCCAGAGCCTCTGGGGAATACAACCTCTCCAAGATCAACATCTCAAGGAAGGATCTTAACTTACTTATTGCAATCACATAGCAAGTGGGTGGCCTTCCTGGGGAAATCAAGAGGGTACAATCAAAGAGAGATATCAAGACTCATTAAAAAGCTACAGTCAATAGAGGAGCGTACTGTTGGTACAGTGTAATCAATATACCAAAAGAACAGAAGAGAGAGCTCAAAAGCAGATCCTCACTTACTTATGATAGAGCTGACACTACATATTAATAGAACAAAACAATAAATGGTACCAACTATGCATAAATAAGATAAAATAAAAATGAATCCCTATGCCATACCATCCACCCAAATATTTCCCAGTTATATTAACAACTTAACTTAAAATACAAAACATAAGCTTTTAGAAGAAAATATAGGAGGATTTCTATGACCTTGAGGTAGGGAAAGATTTCTTAAGTCACAAAACAGCATAAACCATAAAAGAAAAAATGGAAAATCTTTTACACTAAAATTTTAAACTTTAAAAGACATACACACACAAGACAAGCCACACACTGGGAGAAGTAATCTAGAACACATACACCTGACAAAACATTAAAAACCAGAACTTGGAAAATCAATAATAGGACAAACAACTCAACAGAAAAAGAAAAGGAAATCTAAAGCCAAAATACCTGAAAGTATAACTTCCTTATAACTGGCAAATTAAAATCAAATTGCACATCCACCAGATAGGCAAAAATGCTCCAGTTGACAATATCAGTGTTGCTGAGGATGGTGAACAATGTGTCACACTCTACTGAGAACATTTTGAAACAACCATTTTGGACAGGCGGCATACTTAGTAAGGTTGAATACAGACTATCTAAGGCCCAGTAATCTTACTCCCAGGCAAATAATTCCAGGGAACTCTAGCACATACACAGGAAGGAACATACAAAATAACCATTACTGCATTATTTGTACTAGAAAAAAAAAAAAAAAGTTAAACACTGTAATTACAATTTGGTATAAATATGCTGTGGAATATGCCATTTGATCTGTTAACATGAACCTATATTATTTAGATTTTTAAAAATTGAAAGGAACAGTAGGTATTTTATAATTATTTATATAGATAAAAAGAGTTCTTTTGGTATTCTACAAAAGAATCCCACATTCTACTTGGTATCATTGTTTTACTAGGAGGGAGAGTAGAAGTGACCAGATGACTGAAAAATTTTTGGTTGACATAGGTAACCAATGACTGGAATTTTATGTACACATTCAAAACTAAACAGCAATAGAGCAAGTCCATTACGATGATTACAATAAACAGTACAACAGAGGTACTCCTTACCCAGGTTTCTTTCTGCTGAGCATCTATAAATAATAGATGTGTGGCCGTAAGATACAGTGTTCCTGTTAATGACTTGTTGCTGGTACTGAATCGGTCAAGTAACTTCACTTGCTCAACCTAAAAGAAGAAAAAAATGTTAGTTCTCATCTCAAAAATAGTGTAAATTCTTTTTCTGTTATTCCAGGATTTAAATTACCATTTTCAAAATTTTTCCTCCTCCTGTTCAAAAACACGAGTTTATTTAATGTTGAATATTACATTTCATATATCTTAGGGAATACATAAATCAAACAACATAGGCACTATTTACAGTTATAAATACAACCAATAAAGAACCCCATAAAAATATATTAACACAAATATTAAGGGGAACAGGAAGGAGGGGTGTAGTATAAATTAAAAAAGTGTTAGGGCTGGCTGAGTGGCTCAGTTGGTTAAGAGCTCGCTCAAGAGGGCAAGCTCTGAGCAACAGGGTCGCCAGCTCGATTCCCAGCCCGAGCTGAGCTGTTGCTGAGCTGCCAACAGGTGGCAGGATGGCAGTACAGACTGTTTTAGAAGGGAGAGCAGTCTGAGGAGAATAGAAAGAAGCACAGAACTGGACACAAAACGTTGTCCTGGTTGGAGTGGTGAGGAGAGTAAGTCGGAGTTTGCAGCCATTTAACTATTTCCTGATTTGATTTTTCTGGTAGTTTACTTCTCTAACTATATAAGAACCTTATATATGTATTACTTAACTTACCACTTGAAATAAAATATATTGACTCTTAGATAAAAAACACTTTTTTAAATTTTTTTTGTTTGTTTAGCTTAGCTAAGTACTAAGCATTCTTCAGGGCTCACTGATGTTCTAACAGGAATCCCTCTCAGAAAATTAATCAATTATTTAATCTCTTAGCTTTGTATTTCTTAGTGGCTCTGAATTCCCTGGCATAGACTATATCACATGCTGCTTCTGCATCCTTTAGTGGCTGAGGCAGTGAGGTACACAGTACATCTTTGTCTAGACACACACACACACACACACACACACACACACACACACACGAAATTGCCACTGAACAGTGGGTTAGAGTTGGCCAGGGATGTGCAGGAGACTACTATTTTGAAAAAATAGTACTTATTACTATCCATTCTTATGGAAAAAAGTAAAATAACCATTACCACTTAAAATTTTCAGTCCACAGCTATAGCAGCAATATGTTGTAGATAGTGCCGTAAATTGTACGTCTTCAAAATAGGCAGCTAACCATTATCTCATTAATTGTATACTTCCGCCATATATATTTTTTCCCTTACTCAATTTGAAGAAAAAAATGCCCCTATTTTGAAATTATGATTTCCAAAATAACAACTACAACTTAAAAGGCTAATTAGCACCACACCAAGAAATTTAATTCCACAGGAAGTTTTTTTATGTATCACAACACCTGTTTCGAATAAATTAAAATTCAAAATGTAAAATTAAAATATTAGCTTTTAACACAACACTTTATTTGCAATGAATTGAGTTTTAACACTTTCCTCTGGAAACTTAGAGATACGATCTGATTTATATAGCTCAGGTCTGATAGTTGATTTGACATACAAAAGCTATCAGATCATCACACATTGTCCTGAGACAAGAGTAAAACTTCTTTCTCATAAACATGAATGAAGATTTCTCTTGGAGGTCAACATTATTTCATAGTTTTTGATCATTTCTTCCTTAAATCAAAACGTAACTTCGGGCCGGCCGAGTGGCGCAATGGTTAAGAACTCGCTTGGGATGCCAGAGGGCCCCGGTTCGGATCCCACATAGGAGGGCCAGTGACACTGCCCTCCACAGCTAAGATGCTGAACAACAGCTCAACCTGGAGCTGGGCTGCCATGAGTCGCCGGCGGCGGCGTAGGCTGCAGTCCCTGTGGCAGTGGGTTGCCATGGGCTACCGCGTGTAGCCAGCAGCCAGCGTGAGCGGCCAGCAGCCGCAGTGAGCGGCCGTCCAGAAGCCGGCGACTGATCTGCCTCGCCAGAGAAGAGCACAATGATGGTGCCAGCTTGGGCCAGTGAAGCAACGACCTCCACAACTAGATTGAAGAACAAAAAAAAAACGACAGCAACTTGTCTGTTCCCCTTCCCCCAATTCCCCAGCGCTGTTCCCCTCCCCACAATTCCCCAATAAAAATCTTTAAAAAAAACAAAAAAAAACACCTAACTTCATTATATCACATACTTGGAACCAAAACTTAAATTTGAATACTTGTAAAACAATGGGATCAACTACTGTTGACTACTTTTATGCCAGATTTGGCTGTAACGACACTACAGTGTGTTTGTTTTTAAAACAGTCCACCTGAAGTTTTTAAATCTGAGGATTTTTAAAAGGTCATAAATAGTCCTTGTTGCGCTCCTTAAATGACTATCAGGCACACAATTCTCTACATGCAAAACAATCACACCTCTTTCGTTACGATTTTAACCGTTTCGCCCATCGCCTATTCGTTACTATTATTTTATTCCTCAGAGTTCCATTCTCTACAGGCAATCTTACCCAAGTGTCATTGTTTTAGCCTATACATTAATGAGTCCCAAAACCATCTGTCCAGCTCTGATCTCTCCTGAGTTTACAATGTCTGCTATACATACAATAATTCCTCACGTCATATTGAGGTCTTATTATGCATGCCCAGTACTAAGGTAAGTTCTTATCCTACATTATGTCTTTTAATTTTCACACCTCCTTGTGGTAAGTACTATTACTATCCTTACAGAAACTGAGACTTAGGGAGGTTGGTTAAATACCCCAACGTCACACAGCTAGTAGCAGTTAGTACATGGACTAGCACCAACATAGCCCTGTTTCGTAGTCTGATTTCTGAGCGGGAACACCTTCTCACCAAGCTACACTGCTCCACCTTGGTTGTCTGAAGAGTCATGCTAAGCACCCTGAAAACGAAACTAATTTCCCCTCACTCACAAATATAGTCCCAATTCTACATTTCTGATCTGAGTTAATGTTATTCCATCCTCATCTTGTCACCAATACTAGAAATCTGGGAATCATCCTATGGCTTCTTCTTGACCCTCAATATTCAATTAATCACCAATTCCAACCAATTTATAGCCCAAATATTTTTAAAATCTTCCCCTCCACCACTATTAAAGGAGTTCCTACACTGTAATGAAAACATCTGCTCATGTGCCCATCTCTCCCACTAAGGCTATAACATACCCAGGGCAAGAACTGTCTCTTATTTATGTCTGAATAACCAATGGCTAGTACAGCATCTGATACAATAAATGTCTGCTGAGCTACGGGGAAGTGCCACAGAGAAATTTCCCATGGGGAAAAACATAAGTTGCCCACAACTTACCAGTGGTCTCTTTTGCTGAAATCACCCAAGGGATTTATTAAATAGAATTCTTCTTTATAACATTATACTGTCCCCCATTTTTCCCTGCCACCTTTTCCCTACACAATATGTGAACAGTAGATACTTATGCAATAACTTATGAATAAATGAGTAAACTTTAAAAGGCAGGCAAATTACTAATACAGTATACAGTTATAGTTCAGCTTTTAAAAAAAGAAATACATGTGTGGACTCAATCCTCTATTCCCACCCACCACCCAATTAGGACAAGGTCACGCTTCCTCTAGAGTTGGATAATACTACATAGTTCTCCCTGGCTGGATGTCTATCAAGATTGGAAATTCAGGTAAAAATACTCTTCCCAACACTCTAAGCCTGTTTCTTGATTCCCCCTTATTTCTACATCCAAAATTATCTGAAGTTCCCTTTGTCGGTACTTTCATTTTGGTTGCCTAGATACAAGTTCCAAAGCTTAGCTGTTAACCTGATTCACCTCTAAAGCTGTGCAAAAGTACAGATCCCAAGCCTCACCTCTACTCCACTCACCACCTCAGAAGATGGACATCAAGAATCTGTATTTTTAAGAAGTTCACCAGGTCATTCTTATGCAACTGATAATTCCGTCTGACTTTAACTCCAAATTGATTTCTCTTGCTCTTAACTCACATTAGGGTAGGTTCCTTCTCTATCTTTACGCTCTTCCTCCAGACATTTAACGTCCCACCTTATCTAATCCTCCCATTCTTTAAAGAGCTTGTTACAAGGTGGCCCTTTAAAATATACAACTGCATTATGTGTGCACACACACCACATACACACATCTTGTATGTAAGAACATGGGGAAAACATGCACATAAATACACAGTACAGGAAAGAGAGTTTACCGATTCATGCAATAAAAACTGAATCTCCCCCTCCACGGCTGCAGTAAGGTTAGGTAATAAACGTCAGGTACTTTATCCCAAGTCAGCTTGACAAATACTTAGCAAGCAAGTGCTCAAAAGAATTACTACTGCTGATAAGCTGATAAGGTAAGTTGAGCTCTGACAGTCCTCTGTTATTAAACTTCTGTCTAGCTAAGATCAAATGGAGAAAGGAAGAGGAGACACATGACTTGAAAAGCAAATTCAATTTTCTAATGTCCTTTATTGTTGGAAAAACTATGTTTTCCTAATAAGAAAGCAACAATTAACAAAATTCTCTTGACTAATAAAGAGAAAATACAGAATTCTCAAGAGGCATAATATAAAAGGGGAGGGACTTAACATTCTATCTGATAAAAAGAAATACCTGGTAAAGTAGGGAATCTGTGTTGTAAATAAAAGGGTACAAATACAGAATTTTAAGCACAGTTGTCCATGACCAGATATGGTTTTTCAGAGGATCTTTCCAAAGGCAGTGTGGGGAAAATGCGGAGTTGGGAAGAAACTGGTGGTGGGGTAACCAGGTAAGAGGCTAATGAAATTATCTAGGGGTGCTTCGGAGAGAGTGATAAGGGCCTAGGCTAAGCTGCAACAGACAGGATAAAGAGGAAGCTCAAGGTGAGATAATAAAACTGATGTGAGAAGGAAAGAGAAACAGGCTTCTTAAAGATTTAAGCTTGTCAGACTGGTTGCCATTCACTAAGACAGGGTATAAAAGGAAATGTAAGTCTGGGAGGAAAAAAAGAGTCCTTCTTGACAATAAACTGAGGCTTGTTCATTCATTATCTTAGTAAATGCAAAATTATATTCAAGTCAAAAAAATATAATAGAAAATCACTGCAG